ATATATATATATATATATACATGCAAATTTATATATAATATGTATTTATAAAACTATGTACATATATATGTACAATTATGCATATATACATATATATTATATATATATATATATATATATATATATATATATATATATATATATATATATATATATATATATATATATATATATATATATATATGTATATTTATACATATACATATATATATATATATATAAATATATAAATATATATATATATATATATGTGTATATATATGCATATGTATATATTTTATTACAAACACACACACACACACACACAACACACATATATATTATATATATATATATATATATATATATATATATATATATTACATATGTATGTGTGTGTATGTATATATATATAAGTATATATATATATATATATATATATATATATATATATATATATATATATATATGTATATATGCATAAATGTACATATATATGTACATATTTTTATAAATACATATCTATATATAAATTTGCATGTATATATATGTATATATAATACATAAATATATACATATATATGTATATTTATACATAAATATATACATATATACATATATATACATATATATGTATATTTACATACATAGATTCATATATACATATAAAACATATATAATATATAATCATCATCATCTGGGAGCTAATGCCGACGGGGGCGCATAGTCGTGTGAAACTTTCGCTTCCACCTCTGAGGGTCCCTCTTGGCAAGCTGCCAGGCAGGGACTCGGCCCATCTCGAGTTCTTCATGACAGGTTTGTTCGATCTGCCCAAGCCACGACTTCCTAGGTCGTCCCACAGACCTGGTGGGCAGGATTATCCTGTGGGAAGCGAGCCAGGTGGCCGTATAGCCGGAGTTGGCGATCACGGATTGTGCAGGTAGCAGGTCCTGTGCCAGTATCAAGGTGCACAGCTGGTTGGACATATGGTCCCACCAACAATTACGCAAGGACCTATTACAAAAGGCATCAAGATGCGACTCCAAGGTAAAGGATTATGTCCAGTTTTCACTACCATATAGCCGAACTGGGATTACCAGTGCCTTGAAAATACCCAGCTTGGTTCTTCTGCACAGGCATCTCCAAATACTCTTGTTGAGAGGGTTCATGACCCCTGCTGCCAGGCCAATCCGTCTGCTGACTTCCTGTTCTGACAGCCTAGAATTATGAACTACACTACCAAGGTATGTAAAGTTCTCTGTGACTTCAATGTCCTCGCCACAAGCACATACCGACCAAACAGGTTCTAGCAAGTCCCCAAAATCCTGGATCTTGGTCTTGGTCCAGGAGACTTCTAGGCCCATTACTAAATGCATCTAGAGCCACCACTAAGGTTTCCAAAGACTCAGAATAGCAACATCATCAGCAAAATCAAGGTCGGTAACCTTGATATTGGCCAGAGATGGTCCACAATGACTTTGAACAGTAGCTCTGCCCTGTATCCAGTCCATGCAAGCATTGAAAAGTGTTGGTGCAAGGAAACAGCCTTGCCTCACTCTTGAACTAATAGGAAAGAATCTTGACAGCACCCATCCCTACACACACACACACACTTTAAAGCACTTTCAGTACCAGTATACAGGCTTGCTATTAGTCCAATAATCCTTGGAATTCCTGTAAGTCTCAGGATCTCCCGCATTGAACACCTTCTTGAGGTTGATGTAGGCTTCAAGCAGCCCACGCCCGAACTCACGACAGTGCTTTACAGTGACTCAAAGCACAAGGATACAGTCTATTGTGGACTAGCTAGTAGTGAATCGAGATTGCTCCGGCCTCTTGATGCCTCAGAAGATGGTCTCTTATATGTTTCAGAAGGATGTGAGTGAGACCCTTGCCTGATATACTGAGCAGCGTGATGCCTCGTTGATTGCTTCAGCCCCATCAGCACCCATTCCTCTTCCAAATTGGAATAACCACACTCCTCAACAGGTTAGGGGGAACAGTACCAGACCGCCAGATAGAAGCCAGGACAGCATGAATCTCCCATGCCATGGGTTCACCTCCAGCCTTAAACAGCTCAGCTGGGATGCCGCAGATACCTGCTGCTTTACCACTCTGAACTTTATTTAGAGTGGGTGGATCCTCACTGATGGGTTGGTCCGGCAACAGAATCTCGGCACTACCCGCATCCAAGTTAATTGTTGGTGGGTCAACCTGGTACAACTGCTCAAAATAGAACCCAACACTCCCGTATCACAACAGGATCTGAGACGATCTGGCTACTTACTATGCGAACTGCTGTCACCTGTGAAGAGGGATTGGAGTTCAGCTTTCTTAGAGCGTGGTATGCAGGACGAAGGTAATTTACTAAGAAATGGCCTTATACCTCCTCTGCAAGACCTAATAAACTGCTCCTTGTCCCTTCTTAACAGTGATCAAGTTCTGGGCACCTGAGAACGGTGCAAATCTCGATCCCCTGTCAAATGAGGTGCATGACAAGCATCTGCAGCCTCCAGTGTCTCTTGCAAGTTGCTCTCGGGCATTCACCAATTAATTCTTAAGCTGCATCAAGCATTTCACGCTTGATGCATCTTGGTCCATCAGATTGTCGAGTGCTGCGAAACGACCAGAAATTGCCTCAGCAAACCCCTGGGCACAGTCCCCCTCCCTCAGCCTGTCCTAATAAAACACCTTAGGGTGATCATTGGACCTCTGGGGAGTTTTGAAAAGGACCCGGGGAAAAGCCACAACCAATTTATGGTCACTACACAGAACCCCTGTAATCCCAGTAGTTCTGGAGGATCCTCCAAGTGCTAACGAATTTGTGCTCGATCTCCTTGGTTGCATTACGCACATCGTTGTACCACGTCCAACGATGTGGTTATGAGCGATGTTACCAGGTCACAAAAATTCTCAATTTCTAGGACCTTGCAAAGTCCCGGAAAAGGAGGCTATTCTCGCTGCCAGCTTCAGCTCCCTAGCCATGGGGCCCGACAGATATCTCATAGCCAGCTCGATCACAGCTAGGTACCGCATTAAAGTCACCCAAAACAATGCAAATATCTCGCCGGGGACAACTGTCTGACACATGCAATTTTGCCATAGAATATCTCTTTCATGTCGAGTTTACAAACATCAATAGGAGTGTATAAATCCTAACTTCAGTCTCAATACCATTATATGCTCATCGGCTGGAGCAACCTCCACTACGAAGGGCTGGAGTCTGCTGG